TAAGAAATCCTTGCTTAAGAAATATTTGCTCACAGGAACAGACCCCCTCCCATCGTGTGATTTGGAAGACAAAAGAATGTTTTTCTCTTTTTAAGATAAGACTGAAGAAGATCACACCTATACCATGACGGAGATTGTTTTCGTGTAAAGTGACCAATCAAAGACTAATATAATGCTTATGCTGTTATCACGTGATGTTCGCATCATTTTTCATATATAAGCTCACGGTTTCATTTCAATAAATTAGAGAGAAGTTTTCACAGACCAAACGTGTCAGTGTGAGTTTCTTTATGTGCGCACATTCCAAAAGCTGGCCAGCGTCATAAATTTTGGACAGGAACAGATAAGCACTGCACCATATCGCAAGGTATTCTCAAACACTACAGAAAATGGACTTTTGAGGTGCCCCAAAGAGTTCACAAGATACAAAATGTAACATTTGGGGGAATAAACACCCCCTCTTACATTTTATTATTACAAAAAATATTTAACAGGCCCATGGCCTTCTCATAAAATTGCAATTATTGCATTTATCCACACAGCCAATAGGAAAAGGTTCAGGAATTGTGGTAATCTGAGGTGTGAAGGTGCATGATTTGGAGTGGTCTGAGATGTGAAGGAACAAGAATTGAGGGGGTCTAAGGAATAAAGGTGCAGGAATTGGGGTGATCTGAGATGTGAAGTTACAGGATTTGGGGTGATGTTGCAGGAATTGGGGCTAATCTGAGGTGTGAAGGAGAGGGAATTGGGAGATGTGAAGGTGCAGGAATTGTGGTTGTCTGAGATGTGAAGGAGCAAGAATCGAGGTCTAAGGTATGAAGGTGCATGAATTGGGGAGATTTGAGTTGTGATGATGGAAGAATTAGGGCTAATCTAAGGTGTGAAGGTGCAAGAACTGAGGGGTCAGAGATGGGAAGGTTTAGGAATTGGGGGGCATCTGAGGTGTGAAGGTGCAGGAATTGGGGGGACCTGGGGTATGAAGGTGCAGGAACTGGGGGGATCTGAGGTGTCAAGGTGCAGTAATTGGAGGGATTTGAGGTGGCAAGGTGCAGGAATTGGGGGGATCTGAGGTGTGAAGGTGGAGAAATTGGGGAGGACCTGGGGTATGAAGGTGCAGGAATTGGGGTGATCTGAGGTGCGAAGGAGCAGGAATTGGGGTGATCTGAGATGCGAAGGAGCAGGAATTGGGGTGATCTGAGATGCGAAGGAGCAGGAATTGGGGTGATCTGAGATGCGAAGGGAGCAGAATTGGGCAGGAATTGGGGTGATCTGAGATGCGAAGGAGCAGGAATTGGGGTGATCTGAGATGTGAAGGAGCAGGAATTGGGGTGATGGTGATCTGAGATGCGAAAGAGCAGGAATTGGGGTGATCTGAGATGCGAAAGAGCAAGAACTGAGGGGGATCTGAGGTGTGAAAGTGCAGAAATTGGAGGATCAGGGGTGTGAAGGTGGAGGAATTAGGGTGAACTGGGGTGTGAAGGTGGAGGAATTGGGGGGACCTGGGGTATGAAGGTTTAGGAATTGGGGGGATCTGAGGTGAAAAGGTGCTGGAATTTGGGGGATCTGAGGTGTGAAGGTGGAGAAATTGAGACCTGGGGTATGAAGGTGCAGGAATTGGGGTGATCTGAGGTGCGAAGGAGCAGGAATTAGGGTGATCTGAGGTGTGAAGGTGCAAAGCTCAAGATTTCTATTATTCAAGTTATTTACAGCATTTACTATTTAACCACTTTACCTCCAGATGATTTACCCCACTTAATTATCAGGCCTCTTTTTGCTTTTCAGCGCTGCACTAATTCAACTGATAATTGCGCGGTCATGCAATGCTGCACCCAAACGAAATTTCTGTCCTTTTTTTTTTCCACACAAATAGAGCTTTCTTTCAGTGGTTTTGGATCACCTGTGCGCTTTTTATTTTTCGCGCTATAAACAAAAAAAAAAAAAAAAAAAAAAAAAAGACAAAATTTCAAAGAAAAACTTTTTTACTTTCAGCTATAAAAAATATATAGTAAACTCAAAGTTAGTCAAATTTAGGACAAAATATATTCCGCTACATGTTTTTGGTAAAAAAAATAAAAATCCCAATCAGTGTATATTGATTGCTTTGTGTGAAAGTTATAGCGTCTACAAACTATGGTATAGATAATGGAAATTTACCAAATATTTTTGCTATACAGCGCTGCACCAGTATAGCTGACAATTGCGCAGTTATGCATTACGGTACATAAATGAAATTTATGTCCTTTTTTCACACAAATAGAGCTTTCTTTTGGTGGTATTTGATCACCTGTGCGCTTTTTATTTTTGGTGCTATAAACAAAAATTTAAAAAAAAAAAAAAAAACTACACATTCTCATTCCTGTCATAAAATATCTAAAAAAAATAAAATGTCAAATTTAGGACAAAATGTATTCTGCTACAATGTTTTTGATTAAAAAAAAAAAAAAAAAAAAAAATCCCAATAAGTATATATCGATTGCTTTTGTGTGAAAGTTATAGCGTCTACAAACTGTTATTGGATCATGGAATTTACACAGCTTTTACTGACTGCTCATCACATTTCTTGAGGTGCTAAAAATACCAGGACAGTACAAACACCCCCAAATGACCCCTTTTCGGAAATTAGACACCCTAAGCTTTCTGCTGAGAGGCATATTGAGTCCATGGAAGATTTTTTTTTTTTTTTTTTATCCACAAGTTTCTGGAAAAATGACAAACTTTTTTTTTCACAAAGTTGTCATTTAAATGATGTATTTCTCACACAAGCCATGGGTATATGTGGAATTACACCCCAAAATACAGTCTGCTACTTCTAACAAGTATGGGGGTACCACGTGTGTGAGACTTTTTGGGAGTCTAGCCACATACAGGAGTCTGAAATCCAATGACCGCTTTGAAAGCCGGAAGGTGCGTCACTTCCTCATTTCATTTCCGCACTACCTATCACAGTTTCAGAGGCCCTGAAATGCCAGGATAGCACCCCGCCCCCCTCAAATGACCCCTTTTTGGAAAGTAGACACTCCAAGGAATTTAAAAAATTATTTTGATTTTTTTTAATTATTGTTACACTGTCCCTTTCACTTGTTTGATCAATTTTAATGCGATCACAGGAAATGCAAATATCCCCTATAACTTCAATGGGCATTGTCATCCATTCTTTTTTGAGAAATCTGGGGTCTATCAGACTCTAGATATCTCCTCTGCCCTTACATTATCTAATCAAACCAAGATCGGTGTGATCAGATGCTTTCCCAATTTACAAATGGCGCTGTTTATATTCTGCGAAACTGGCTGAGTGAAAGAAAATTGATCAGATTCCTTCATCTGCAGAAATGAGATGGATGGAGGAATTCCCCTGCAGGGACTATATATTGGTGCAGCTGCCAGAATACAATGATCACAGTGGCAGCAACTGCTGATCATCTGAAAACATTCCAGCATGTCCCTTCTTTGGAAGTCAATTAACCAATTCAATACCGAACAATTTTACACCTTCCTGCCCAGGCCATTTTTCAGGTTTCAGCGCTCTCACACTTTGAAGAAAATGATAAAATTTTAGATTGGGTACAATGTTGTATGACCGCGCAATTGTCATTCACACAACTAGAGCTTTCTTTTGGTGGTATTTAATCATCGCTGGGGTTTTTATTTTTTGCTAAATTAACAAAAAAAAAGACCGAAAATTTTGAAAAAAAAAAAAAACTCTGAATATTGATCAATATTGAAGTACTGGCCAATCTAATTTCTTGAGGTCCAAGAATGTCAGAACAGTACAGATATCCTCCAAATGACCCCTTTTTGAAAAGTAGACAGTCCGGCGTACTTCATAAGAGGCATGGCAAGTTTGTTGAAGTTGTAATTTTTTTTTGTCATTTTTCAGAAAATAAAAAAAAACATTTTCACTATTTTTTTTTTTTTTTACATACTGTCACCAGTGCAGTACAGCGTCGTCATATAACTGGCATGGCGGTGATCAGGGACACTGACTGGTGACAGTGTGAAAAAAAAAAAAAATATATATTTTTTTTTTATTTTAAATTACATTTTTTTTCAAGATTTTTTTTTCATATTTCACTATGTCTAAAGTAGTACAATGTTACCATAGTAACATTGTACTACTTTGGGGAAGGGATCAGTATTTTTTTTTTTTTTACACAATTTGCTTATAGCAAAGAATTACTTTGCTATAAGCAAGCATTTACCTGAATGACATCGATTCATTCAGGTTTTTTTTTTTTTGTGTGCTTAGCTGTGATTTGGCCACAGATAATCACATGACATGTGCATGTGATTAGCTGTGACCATTCACAGCTAGACACTAGTATAGAATGGATGGCATGAATGGGAGGCATCCATTGTATACAACTGTCATGTGACCTTCTGTGATTGGTCACAGAAGGTCACATGGTACCGGCAACGGGGGCCGGTACTCAGATCTGTCGTGTCTGAGGTACACGTCCGGTGACAGATCGTGCCGCTGCGCGGCTCTGCAAGCACGCAAACTGCGCATGTGCGGGAGGATGCCATATGGCGGCCTCCAGGAAAGCTAGTACATTTTTCCGGACGCCATACGGCTATTGGGCCGGGCGTCAAATGGTTAAATAAACAACTTCTGTTGTGGGGGATGAGGCCACACACTGAATTAAACTGAGCAGGAGTTACCAGATAGAAAAAGAAAAAATAAAATGTGGTGGAGGCATTTTATTTTTTTTGTTGGCTTTTTTCCTTTTAAGTATTGGTAAGCGTCAATAGACCATATTTTTGTATTTGGGTTTAATACCGCTTTAAAGCTTTTAAATTGCATCTCTTATACCATACAAATCTTCTATAGCAACACCAACATCAGGACCTTTGACGTTTACAGATCAATACTCCGTAAGAAGGCAATGGCAGGAACAGATGATATACTTTTATTCATTTATTTCCTATAACATATTACAGCAAAAGTTGCTTTTTTTTCCCCTTGCTAAAGTCCATTTTAGTCACAGAAAACATTGCTTCCATCAGAAGAAGAGGCCTCTCATTCTTCTTCCAATTCCCTGGCGGTCATATAAGATATTGAATTTGTTGACAAACTGGTTCATAGTGTTGCATGTCTTAGTGATGGTTCCCAGGTAGGACATCAGGCCAACGTCGTTGCATTGCTGGAAATGAAGACAAACACTTAGGCTAGCCATACGCAGAATCATTTGATCATTGCTTGTTGTCAGAGCTCTGTGTGTGTTTACCTAAACCTTTTCCCTAAAGAGAACTAAACAATTATCTAAAAAGAATCTGCAGATGTATATTTGCTAAAAGCGTAGCTAACCCGCGGATTAGCTGCGCCTTCCCATAGTTAAAGTTATTGCTGTGATACTCCACTTCAGTCCATATCTGTCCTCCTGCAGTACTCCACAAGATGTCAATAAATAAATGAAATCAGCACTGCCATTGTTCCCACAGGCTTCCTTGAACACACACATCTTTGGCCTGCTTGGCTCACTCTGCGGCTTCTCCCTCTCCCAGTCTAAACTCAGCTGTACAGGGACTGCAAGAGGCCAAATACCAAGTCCTATTCAGATGCTTGCATTAAAAAAAAAAAAAAAAAAAAAAAAATATATATATATATACAGTTGTGTCCAAAATTATTCAACCCCCAATGCTGTAAAGGGTTTTAGGGGACTATAGTGTACATTTGGAATTGTATTCAGAATCAAATCCTACAAGGACGTTGTAACTACCCAAATGCAACTAAAATGACATCAATTGTTTATGTAATACAGTAGTAAATGGTTCTTATGTGGTTTCTTCATTGCCACAATTATTCAACCCCTTAAAGACTACCACTCTGAAGAACAGAGGTTCATACAGGTGCTTTCCATCAGGTATTGAAAACACCTGTGGATGTCACCGAGCAGCAATCAAGCATAATAAGCACCAATTAGGCAGCTTTAAAAATGACTGTGATACTCAGCTCCTTCTAGACATTTACTGGTGTGGTTACAAACATGGTGAAGGCAAGGAGAATGGTCCAGGAAGACAAGAGAAGAGGTGATTTCTCTTCACAGAAGGGCAATGGCTATAAGAAGATTGCAAAGATGTTAAACATACCAAGAGACACCTTAGGAAGCATCATTCGCAAATTCAAGGCAAAGGGCACTGTTGAAACGCTACCTGGTCGTGGCAGAAAGAAGATGCTGACTTCGACTGCTGTGCGCTACCTGAAGCGTAGAGTGGAGAGAAGTCCCCGTGTGACTGCTGAGGAACTGAGAAAAGATTTGTCAGATGTGGGTACAGAAGTTTCAGCCCAGACAATAAGACGCACACTGCGTAATGAAGGCCTCCGTGCCAGAACTCCCAGGCGTACCCCCTTGCTGTCTCCAAAGAATAAGAAGAGTCGACTGCAGTATGCCAAAAGCCATGTGGACAAACCACAAAAGTTGTGGGATAGTGTTCTGTGGACTGATGAAACAAAATTAGAACTGTTTGGGCCCATGGTATCAACGCTATGTTTGGAGGAGGAAGAACAAGGCCTATGATGAAAAGAACACCTTGCCTACTGTGAAGCATGGTGGAGGGTCAATCATGCTTTGGGGCTGTTTTGCTTTCTGCAGGTACAGGGAAGCTTCAGAGTGTGCAAGGTACCATGAATTCTCTTCAGTACCAGGAGATATTGGATGGAAACGTGATGCCAGAGTCCGTCACACACCTGAGGCTTGGGAGACGTTGGACCTTTCAACAGGACAATGATCCCAAGCATACCTCCAAGTCCACTAAAGCATGGTTGCAGAGGAAAGGCTGGAACATTTTGGAGTGGCCATCGCAGTCACCAGACTTAAATCCGATTGAGAACCTCTGGTGGACTTAAAGAAAGCAGTTGCAGTGCGCAAGCCTAAGAATGTGACTGAACTGGAGGCCTTTGCCCATGAAGAATGGGCGAAGATACCCGTAGATCGCTGCAAGACACTTGTGTCAAGCTATGCTTCACGTTTAAAAGCTGTTATAACTGTAAAAGGATGCTGTACTAAGTACTAAGATTGAATGTCACTTGGGGGTTGAATAAAACTGATAATGCTGTGAGCACAGAAAAGACATTTGGGTGGTTATTTCATTATAACTGTTATGTTATATTTGTCTGACCTACAAGTGCCTCTTTAATGTAAATGTAAGCAAGATGACTGAATGATCAAAAGCAATGTCAAACTGGCCAAAACACTCAATTTCAGTGGGGGTTGAATAATTTTGGCCACAACTGTATATATAAATATAAAAGGTGTATTTTTACAGAGCTGTATTATTCTGTGTCATTTATATTTGTTCAGCATTCAGCTTTAAAGTGTTTCTAAACCTTCAGAATTTATTTTTTTTTTAAATAACCAACATGATAGAATTACCTGTTCTGTGTTTTGCACAGAGCAGCTCTGAATCGTCCTCTTATGTGGTCCCCTTTTGGTGCTCCTCATAGGAAGCCCAGTTCCTATAGGGGCACTTGTGCTGGCTTGCTCCCAAGTCCAGCTGCCTGTGTCCATAGACGCAGACAGCAGGGCTCGGCCCCGCCCCACTTCACTCCCTCGTTCTAGGATGTGATTGACAGCATCAGGAGCCACTGCTATTAATCTCCATGTGGAGGAGGGAGAGAGCCACTGCTATCAATGCACAGATTGCAAGCAGGTAAAAAACATGAAGGCTTTACAACCACTTTAACCATTTGTTGCTTGCGCTATAGCAGAATGACGGTTACAGTGCGTCATCAAGTTCTGGGAGGGCGTCATACAATGTCCTCCCAGAATGCGCCCCCAGTGGCGCACACCTGGGTGCTCTCTCTAATCGCTGTGTCCTTTGGACACAGCTGATCACATGAAATGGTAAAAGGCCAATCACAGCGACCATTTTCCACGTGATCAGCTGTGGCCAATAACAGCTGACCGCCATGTGAATACACTTTCCAGTTAGCGGCGGTACTTTCCTCATGCTGTGACAGTGTATGGAAAAGTACTGCTGATAACTGGCAACTGCTAAAGGAGACGTCTACACTGATAATCAGGGCACTGATCATTAATACCCAACAGTGCTGCCCATCAATGCAGCCTCATCAGTGAAGGAGAAAAATGATCAATACCAATAAAGTCTCTTCTGTTATAAATACCCTGCATATCAGCAATTTTTAAAAAACAAAGTTTACTTTTCATTTTAAAAAATTAAGACGTTCACATTCATATGTGTACCAGAGTGGAAAAAAAAAAAAAATAAATAAAAATATGTGCGAGGAAGACATGAAGGTTTGGTTCACATACGTGAATTGGATGGGTTTTGAACCACATCCAATTTGCATGACATGTGCACCGGCAGGCTTCTGGCGCCAGTTCACACATGTGCTGGCAAGCCACATCGCGAGTCCTGTATGATTTTAGGTCCAGTTCAGGTGCGATTTAAGTATCATACACCTAACTAAGGTGTCCGCTTATGAATCAGCAGTAATAGATCGCTGCTCAGTTCTCTGGCATTCTCGGAGAACACAGTTCTCCTGTAAATGCCTTTTATGAAGCAGTTCTCCAAAACAAAAAAACAAAACAAAAAAAAAAAGGGAGAACGGAGAGCGGTCTCCAAAACAAAAAAAAAAAAAAAAAAAAAAAAAAAAAGCGAAGGGAGAACGGAGAGCGGTCTCCAAAACAAAAAAAAAAAAAAAAAAAAAAAAAAAAAAAGGGAGAGAACGGAGAGCGGTCTCCAAAACAAAAAAAAAAAAAAAAAAAAAAAGGGGAGAACGGAGAGCGGTCTCCAAAACAAAAAAAAAAAAAAAAAAAAAGGGAGAAACGGAGAGCGGTCTCCAAAACAAAAAAAAAAGGAAGGGCGGAGAGCGGTCTCCAAAACGAAGGGCGAGAGCGGTCTCCAAAACGAAGGGCGGAGAGCGGTCTCCAAAACGAAGGGCGGAGAGCGTCTCTCCAAAACGAAGGGCGGAGAGCGGTCTCCAAAACGAAAGGGCGGAGAGCGGTCTCCAAAACGAAGGGCGGAGAGCGGTCTCCAAAAACGAAGGGCGGAGAGCGGTCTCCAAAACGAAGGGAAAACGGCTGATTTTACTATAATCTCGCGAGTTTACTAAACAGAGGTAAATTATCGCTGCTTAGTTTGCGGTCCCTCCGATCCTTCAGCTCTGGGCTGGAGAATCTGGAGGGAGAACACAGATCTCCAGTGAAGGGCTGACATGTTCTCCGCTGATCTCCTGGGTGTCAAACTATGAATGACCAGAGAATAGCTGCGATCCTCTGAAGCGCAGCTATTCTCTGTGTCATAAACGGACACCTAAATCGCAACTAAACGGCGACTTCAGTGTTAGAACGAAACTGCACCGGACTGTTGAAAATTCGCAATGAAACATTAACTGGACCTACATGAACCGAGCCTTAGGCTGTGCGGAGAACCTGGAAAGGATCTGCGAAGAAATAATGTCACTTAATGTTTAGACTTACATCATAAAAATCTGTCTTGAATTTGTCTGTGCTGAGTACGGGGAGACAATGGCACAAAGCAGAGGCCTCTCGTAGAATCTCATGATTGAAGGGAACCTCTCCTGGAAAAAAAGATCATAGATGCTATAAATTCACCGTGGAAAACTCCTAGAAGTGTCCTAACAGAAACAAATGACAGTTACCTCCTTCAACCGATCGAACGTACTCCAGAATGAGACGGACTCGGCTGTGAAGCATCTTAATGGCGCTGTGCTGGGCGATGAGGTGTTCCGCCACTAGAAACAGACAGACAATGGAGCTCGTCAAGAAACTGACTTCTGCATTTCACATACAGACACTTTATGGCTGAACATGTGACCACGGGAGCTTGTTGGACTTCCAATGTCATAATAATATGCAATAATGCGTTTCTTTCCTGGCCCCTCCCCCACCTCCCTATTTGTAGTTAAAATAGCCTCCACTCCTCTGGGAAGGCTTTCCACAAGATTTTGGGGTGTCTGTGGTAATCTGCCCCATTCTACTAATCATTTGACCTCCGGAAGATTTACCCCTTTCATGACCAGGCCATTTTTTGGCTTTTAGGTACTGTGTCACTTTAACTGACAATTGCACGGTCATGCAATACTGTACCCAAAAAAAAAAAAAAAAAAATTTATATCATTTTTTTTTTTGATTATAAAACAGAACTCTTTTGTTGGTATTTGATCATCACCACTGGGTTTTTTATTTTCTGAGCTATAAATGAAAAATTTTTGAAAAGAAAAAAAAAAAAAAAAAACTTTTTTTTTTAAACTTTAGGCTATAAAACCTATCCAAAAAACAAAAAAAAAAAAAAAAAATATCATACATTTAATTATAAAATATGCATTTTGCTACATATTTTTGGTAAAAAAAAAAAAAAAACCAAATAAAAGTCTATATTGCCTGGTTTACACAAAATGTATAGCATCTACAAACTATGGTATACATACTGGTACAGCCTGCCAGCCCACGGCTTTGGCAACGTCGCCGGAGTATGCCTAATATAGATTTATATTTTTATGTGGTTAATAAATGAGATATATATACACCCGTGTTCCAAATTATTATGCAAATTCTCTATTTAAGTGTCACAAAGATGAAATATTTTGTTTCTCACTGTAACTCATGGATGGCATTGTGTGTCAGGGCTCTTTTGATCACTGAAAAACAATCTCGGACATCTGTGATGATTAGATTGGCCGGTGAGCCCCAATTTAAGAAAAAACTACTAAAGGACGGTGTTCCACATTATTAAGCAGAGCATCATTTTCAAGCAAATATGGGGAAGAAAAAGGATCTCTCTGCTGCCGAAAAGAGTGAAATAGTTCGATGCCTTGGACGAGGTATGAAAACATTCGATATTTCACGAAAACTTAAAGCCACGTGATCATCGCACTATGAAGAGATTTGTGGCTGATTCAGAGCACAGACGGGTTGGTGCAGATAAAGGCACATTGAGGAAGATTTCTGCCAGATCCATGCATCGGAGAGAGCAGCTGCTAAAATCCCATTACATAGCAGCAAACAGATATTTGAAGCTGCTGGTGCCTCTGGAGTCCCACGGACATCAAGGTGTAGAGTCCTCCAGAGTCTTGCAAACTGTGCATAAACCTATTCGGCCACCACTAACCAATGCTCACAAGCAGAAACGGCTGCATTTGGGCAGAAAAATTACATGAAGACTAATTTTCAAAACAGTCTGTCCTGTTCACCGATGAGTGCCGTGCAACCCTGGATGGTCCAGATGGATGGAGTAGTGGATGGTTGGTGGTGGACGGCCACCCTGTTCCAACAAGGCTGCGACGTCAGCAAGGCGGTGGGTGGAGTCAGGTTTTGGGGCCGGAATCATGGGAACAGAGCTGGTCGGCCCCTTTAGGGGCTCCGAAGGTGTAAAGATGACCTCTGCAAAGTATGTGGAGTTTTTATGACTGACCACTCTTTCTTCCCTGGTACAGAAGGAAGAATTATGCTTTCCGTATTAAAATCATCTTCATGCATGACAATGCACCATCTCATGCTGCAAAGAATACCTCTGCATCAATGGCTGCTATGGGGATAAAAAAGGAGAGAAAGTCATGGTGTGGCCTGTCCAAAAACTCACAAGTTCAATGGATTCAAGACTTGTGAAGCTGCTATCAAATAAGGGGTCCTATGTTACAATGTAACGTGACCTGTTTCAAATGTTTAAAAAGTTAAAAATGTTGTTAAAAGTTTGATTGAAATAGCTTTTGATTTCAGTAAATATGCTGCAAACACAACAAATGACAATTTTCAGTTCTTTACAACCTATAAAAGTGTTTTGAAACTTCCTGTGCGGAATAATTTGGAACAAAAATCCTGTTATCATTAGGAGGTTTGTGCCATAAAATGTGAATTGTACTCTTAATAGCTGACAACATGAGAATTATACTGACTGTTATTTACATCAATTATTTAGGGAAATGAGAAAAATATCATTTGCATAATAATTTGGAACGCGGTGTATTTTATGTGGTTACTAAAATATATATATATATATATTTTTCATTTTTTTTTTTTGAGATTGGACTAAACAATCGATTAGTGTATGGCTGGAGGAAATTCTATACCCAGATTGCAAAGTTTGATATACGATTGTGCAGTTGCCCCAACGCTCTCTCCATCATTTAAAGGAGGGGTCTCCAAACTTGTTAAATGAAGGGCCAGTTTAATGTCCTTCAAACTTTAGGAGGCCAGACTGTGGACAGCGGGAGTAAAAAATGTCTTGGGGTCCGTTGGAGTTTACAGTGCCCCGTCGTTGATGTCAGTGGGTGGAATATTTCCTAGTCATCGGTGGGAGTTAAACAGTGCCTTGTTGTCAGGGGGGGGGAGAGACTGCCCCGTTGTTGGCGTCAGTGGGCGGTATAGAGCCTCACTGACAGTGGCAGGAACTATGCCCCACTATTGCTGACAGTGGGGGGGAAAATAATGACCCAAGGGCCGGATAAAAGCAAGCAAAGGGCCGCATTTGGCCCCAGGGCCACAGTTTGGAGACCACTGATTGAAAGGGACTCACAAATATTGGAACGAGAGAGATTTTATATATATAATTTTTTTTTTTTTTTTTTTTTTTTTAAGATATAGGGTGGGTACTGAGTGTGCTCAGAGAAAGGACACGTGGTGGCGTGTGGTTACAGATCACTGAGGCTCTAGCATAGACACTCTGCAGCTGCAACACTTTGTACTTTATTGGACTATTTTGACTTCTTTTTATTATACTTGGTTATTCACACTTCATTGGATCATCTGCATGTGGAATATTAGCACTTGGGACTATTTTTTATTTTCCGATATGGATTGATTGATACCGAACATTTATTGGACTACTTTCCACTGGGGATTATTCTCATTTTTGATTTGTATTTATGGATATAAATTTTTTTTTTACCATTTGCATTTTATAGTTAGAAAGCACATCAATGTTTATATTTTTTATTATTTATAGTTAAATAAGGATGATATATTTGAAACAATTATTGCTTCACCCAATGAACAGATTCACAGGCAATGGATTAGAGGTTCTATATGGAGATTGATCTCTAGAAAGCGGTTACATTTCCATAATCCACAATCTTTGGGCCACACCATGTAACTGTTCTTTGCTTTACTAGCTCACCGCCCCCTCCTCACCTGTCGAGTTCTCTCCGCTGCCAGTCGCTGTCATTCGGGCCACATGGTCAACTCCGATTCTTTCTGCTTCTTCTGTTGCCAAAGTGTATGGAAGTTCAGCTAAAAGCATTGTGGCCTGAAAAGGAACGGTTTCAAGATTTTTACTGAATACTGCAATTAAATAGTAGAAATGTTCAACAATTCTGAAAATTCAAGTGTGATCTGCGCACCCTGCGATTTGCTTTGATGTATACTTTAGGGCTTGTTCCAATGTATGGCAGCCCTTGCCACCCCTCTGAAAAGCAAACATGCACACATAGGCATTTAGAGGCAGAAAAAAACCCATTGCCAGCATGTCCAGGAACAGCAGAGTTTTGGGAAGAAAAAGAAAAAAAAAAAAAAAAAAAAAAAAAACAACCCCAGCAAAAAAAAAAAAAAAAAAAAAAAAAAAAAAAAAAAAAAACCCAAAAAGAAAAACAAAAAACAAAAAAAAAAACCAAAAACCACTTGACACGCTGAAACGAGTGTAAAACGCACCTAAGCGCCGGGCGCATTTAGTGCTCGAGCATTACTTCATTTCAATGGCAGAATAAATTATTATTCTGGCCAATGACATGAACGACCAAGCGCTTGACACGCCTAAACGCATTACACGACTTTACAAGCGTCAAGTGTTTTTTCTGCCAAAACTCTGCTGCCAGGAGACTAGGACAGTTAGCAAAAAAATACAGTGTGTATGAGGCCTTAGGTGAGCAGTCAGGGACCTGTTTTTTACCATCCCCCCAGCCATATGTGTGAACGTATGCTATGCCCTTCTACAGAGAAAAGCAAGTTTCCCCAGACATCCCTTCCCAGCGGCACACTCACCTCTCCTGCTGTGATAAGATGAAACCCTGTGTAGGCTGTAAAGCTGACTGCCCCGACTGAAATTTGGCTGGTTTCTGCTGAACGTGCCAAATTTCAGTCAATGTGGCAGTCCCCCTCGATTTTTTGGGGGCCTGATGAGGGGTGTGGAGGTGGAGGGGGAATTTCCATCCATCTTCTTTTTGAGGATGAGGAAATCTGGTTTTTTTTTTTTTTTTTTTTTTCCCCAATTAAGCCCATTGGCCTATGAAAGAAAAAAAAATCCAACAGTGTATGCACAGTGCGATTCTCCTCTTCTCAGATCCCCTGCCGGCGACTCTGGCTCCTCCTCACCTCGGTGTGCCGCTTCCTATTGTGGCACACCAGCAGGCTTGATCCCAAGTGTCCATAGGCACTGCCCCACGTCACAGGATTTGATTGACAGCAGTGGAGGCAATCTGCCCTGTGAGGAGAGAGACGCTGCTCTTGGGCACAGTGCTGGATCGAAATGGAGCTCAGGTAAGTATGGGGGGCGTATTGAAGCTGGCAAAATCAGCTGCACACAAATGTTTTTAACCCGAATGCGGTAGCCCTGGTTCACACTGGTGTGACTTGTCATGCAATTTGAAAGTGTCAAATCGTATGACAAGTTGAACCCTATTGTTAGCAATGGAACTGTTCAAATCAGTGCAATTCTGACTTTGCAGTGCCACACCAATTTGGGAAAAAAAAAAAAAAAAAAAAAAAAAAAAAAAAAGGGGGGGGGGGGGGGAAAGGGGTTCCTGCACTATTTTTTGGGATATCAGGTGCGACTTGCATGGACATCTGAGCATGGAGTTGCAGAGGACTTCCGAGCTTCCGAGGTCTTCCAAGTCGCACCTGAAATCACACTGACACGTGGCTTCGAAATTATGCGACTTCAAGTAAAGTCACATGATTTCAAAGTCGGATCCAGTGTGAACCAAGGCCAAGTCACAACTTGGAGCTTACACAAGGCTGAGGACTGCCTCCCCTCCACCCAGCACTGTGATAGGAAGAAGGAGTAGGCTACTTGATCCCCCAGATCTGGAAGTACAGAGTGTCTGTCTTCACTTCCAACTGCCAAAGATAAAAAAAGGTATGCACGGTTAGGAAGGAGGAAGGAAGTTAAAAGGAGAAGTTCACCTTTTTGACAAAAAAAAAAAAAAAAAATGTGCATTATTATTTTTGTCTACAGAAGCCTGGAAGGCATTGCACCAGAGATCAGTATATCACTGATACCATGCAGGGCTCCTGCAGACCTGTCAGAATATCTGCTTGCCGTACGGGATGTCCAGCAGATATACTGACAGGAAGCTTCAATGAACTACCACAGCACTCCACAGCTCTGTGGTAGTTCATTGAAAAACTACAAGCCGACAGCCACTAAGGTTGCTGGGACTTGTAGGCACTCATTCACAAACGCTGAATGAATGACGTGGCCGTGTGGGCGGAGCCCCGCTATGTTCAAATCTGACAGATTGTACAGGGAGTCTCCATACTATCAGAGGGGGGCGGTGGGCAGCAGCTGCAGCTATGGGAACGTGTTACAGTTCTCTCCCTGTCAGCTCCTGCACACTGCTTTGCATGGCTGTGCACAGCACCGCCATGCAAAGCAGTGTGCTTACAGTGAAGCACCGACACAGGACACAGTGTAAAACGGCACACAGTTAACCCTTTGCTCACCACACGTTAACCTCTTCCTGCCCAGTGCCATTAGTACAGTGTCAGTGCTTTTTATTAGCACGGATCACTGTACGGATGTCACTGGAGATGTCAGTGACACCAAGTTAGTGCCCCCCCAATGTCAGAATGTCCACCGCAGTCCTGCTATAATTTGATCGCCGCCATTACTAGTAAAAATTTAAGGGAAAAAAAATGTAAAATCCCAGTATATACACACCGCCATTTTTTAGCAAAGACAAGTAGAATACATTTTGGCTTAAATTTATGACGAAATTTGATTTTTTAAATTTTTTTTACTGGACATGTTTACAAATAGCACAAAGATTTTTTTTTTCTCAAACTTGCCGGTCTCTTTTTTTTTTTTTTTTTTTTTTTTTGCACTATTAAAAAAAAAAAAAAAAAAAAAAAAAAAAAAGCACAGGCGATCAAATACCACAAAAATAAAGCTCTGTTCATGGAGGGGAAAAAAAGAAAGATGTAAAATTTCATTTGGTTGCAGCGTTGCATGATTGCGCAATTGTCAGTTGTTGTCGGAACGCAAAAAATGGCCTGGTCAGGAAGGGGGGGGGGGGGGGGGGGTAAATCCTCAGGAGGGCAAGTGGTTAATGGGATATTACATGGGGTAATGTTCTAGTATTAAAAATAGTTTTTTAGCTATTTTAGTTTTTTCAAGACATGCACTTTAGCTTTTGGGCATCAGAGTGGACTCACCTCACCATTCACAATATCAATCACGGACTCGTAAACGCTGACTGGAAGCTGTGAGAGAAGAGAACTTATTAAGTATAAGGAATGGTCCAAAGTAAGAACTGAAGCAGAATATGGGTGGATCGGGATGCTCACATCTGTGTGCTTTGTCATTGGGTTTAACTTCAGGAAGAGCGGCGACTCAATAATCTCACAAACCTAGAGAAGGAAAACAGGGTTTTATTACAGCGTTACTAACACTACTAAAAAGAGGACTTGGCACAAAACCATTGGTAAGCTCTGGTCCCATGAGCTCTGCTGGAGGATCATTGGACACAGACTTGAGGAGATCTCCAGATCCTCCACCAAGCCATTGGTTCCATGATCTCTGAAGGAGGATCATTGGACACAGACGTGAGGAGATCTCCAGATCCTCCACCAAGCCATTGGTTCCATGATCTCTGAAGGAGGATCATGGACACAGACTGAGGAGATCTCCAGATCCTCCACCAAGCCATTGGTTCCATGATCTCTGAAGGAGGATCACTGGACACAGACTTGAGGAGATCTCCAGATCCTCCACCAAGCCATTGGTTCCATGATCTCTGAAGGAGGATCACTGGACACAGACGTGAGGAGATCTCCAGATCCTCCACCAAGCCATTGGTTCCATGAAGGAGGATCATTGGACACAGACGTGAGGAGATCTCCAGATCCTCCACCAAACCATTGGTTCCATGATCTCTGAAGGAGGATCATTGGACACAGACGTGAGGAGATCTCCAGATCCTCCACCAAGTCATTGGTTCCATGATCTCTGAAGGAGGATCATTGGACACAGACGTGAGGAGATCTCCAGATCCTCCATTAAGCATTGGTTCCATGATCTCTGAGGAGGATCATTGGACACAGACGTGAGGAGATCTCCAGATACTCCACCAAGCCATTGGTTCCATGATCTCTGAAGGAGGATCATTGGACACAGACTTGAGGAGATCTCCAGATACTCCACCAAAGCACTGGTCCCATGATTTCGCCTGGGAGATCATTAGATACGGACTTGAAATGTTTTCCAGATCCTCCACCAAAGAGTTGATAACATGATCTCTACCTCTGCAGAGCACCCTCAGCAACTGATGTTCAACAAACCAGGCAGGCCACTGATGTTTGAACAGTGGTAACCAATATCCTCCAGCAAAGACCACAGGACTTCAGCTGCTGGCCTGACCATATCACTAATACCCGTGTTCACAAACAGCGAAAACCAAAAAGATATAGTTACAGGAATGGGGCTCATTTCAACATCCAGGAAAGGAACAAAGAAGCAGATATCAGTTACAATCAAATCTAAATAAAAGACTAAAGCTGGCCATAGATGGAAAATTTGTATGAAAATTCTCAACACATTTAAAATGTCATTCAAAACTATTTTGGGGTTGATTCCCTAAAGGCAAATAGTCTAGGCACTTTAAAGTGTCCTACGAGTGCAGTTGTTCTAGATCTGAGGGGACGCTCTGCTGATTTCTATCATCCAATGATGTGCAAGCAAATAATGTTTTTTTTTTTTTTTTTTATTTTCCTTGCATGTTCCCCTCATATCTGGAGCAACCGGACTTGCAGTGCACAGACTATTTGCCTTTAGTAAATCAACCCCAATATTGGCTTTAAATTCACTGTAACTGGATTTTGGAATGAATGGACTTTACTGAACAAAGACCTCATGCACGGTTAGAAATTTACTTAGTTCGTATTTTCTAGTCACCGAGGTTGAAAACGAATGTCGATTTGACCCCCACTCATGATTAGAAAAACAAACGAATGTTCTTTCCCTGTGAATTTTCATTTGAAATTCTACCCATCAGTGAACTCAACCTGAACCGCTGATGTCATCCAGGAAACAATGCCACTGTACTTGAAAGTGACTTTTTGGCTGAACTCATGGACCCCCAGCTCCCCTGCATACATATCTGAAAAGACATCTGCAGTCTACAGGACTCTTCAAATCTTCCAATAAAATCTTCTTTTCTGAGCTTTGGATAGACTGGGGAAGAGTTAGACTCTAAAGTTTTTATTGCGGTCTATGTCCCCATTGGGGAGATTCACCCTCTATTTGTACTGGTGACCATTGTCACTGAAACAGAAAGTGAGGGGAAAATCCAACATTTAAGAGCTGTCCCCAGATCAAGAGGTGAAGAGAAATATTCTAATGAAGATACCTGTTCCAGGGGCAACTAAAAAAGGAACGTCCCCTAACTTTGGGAGGTTCCTCCCCCCCCACCCCAACTTCCTGTAGTGTCTCTGGGACAGGAAACAAAAAAAAAAAAAAAAAAAAAAGTCCTAAATGATACAGGCAAAAAACAAAAAAAAACAAAACACAAACAAAAACACAACCTTACAGGGACTTTAACTAGGGATGCACTGATACCAGTACTGATACGAGTACTCATGAAAATGCTCCCAAAACCGATACTTTGCAGTGCAATTTGCATCCGTAAAAAAAAAAAAAAAAAAAAAAAAAAAAACAACAATTGGCACAAATTGCACTGCAAAGAATGGCATGCAGTTCGAACAGGAATGCAGTGCCATTCCTGTCCACATTGCATGCAGTTTCCCCACCACTCCTGTGTGAACCTGGGCTTGTCACATAGCCTGGGATCACACAAGAGCGGTGTGGGAAACCCTTCCTGCACCAATCCCATCCAGTCACACAACTAAAAGCTGCTGCACAGGTCTGGGGATTTCAAATCCCAGCGGCTTTCTCTCCTCTCCATGCAGCAGGCTAGATGGCTTCTGATTGGCCAGCACCGCAGCACCGTGGCGGTCTAGCCCAGCAATGGGCAAACTACGGCCCGCGGGCCGTATACGGCCCGGCGGACCTTTTAATCCGGCCCGGCGGACCTTTTAATCCGGCCCGCGGAGCGTGATACTGTCAGGATGGCTGTGTGTGTGTAGGCGGGGCAGCGTGACGAACGTGAGGGGAGCTAGGCTCCTCTCACAGTCTGCCCTGAAGACCGGTGTAGCATGAAAATCTGTCTCTTATGAGGATCTGTCCCCCTCGACGTATCTGCGCATGTGCCGGAGATCGCCGATCGGCTGCTAATGCCTGAAACTGGCACATGCGCAGATACGTCGAGGGGGACAGATCCTCATAGGAGACAGATTTTCATGCTACACCGGAACGGCGCAGGAACACGGCGAGAGAACGCGCGGAGCAAAGGTAAGTGAACTGACACAAGGGGGACTTAATATGGGGGATGAATTAATATGGGGGTGAATTACTATATGGGGGGTGAATTACTATAGGGGGGATGAATTACTATAGGGGGGATAATAGGGGGGATGAATTACTATAGGGGGATGAATTACTATGCTTACTATGGGGGAATATTACTATACTTGCTATGGATGACACATACACATCATTCATCTACTCTTGGTCCGGCCCCCGGGTCCAATATATGAACCCATTGCGGCCCTCAAGTCAAAAAGTTTGCCCACCCCTGTTCTAGATAAACAGATTGTAATTTCTCTGAAGAGAGAAGTCGGGATGTGTTTTCTCAATTGAAGCCAAATCCTAAATAACCATCTACAGCAAGCCTGTACCTGTTTGTGGACATGAACGTCAGATGGATCCGGAGGTCCTCCGGTTGTGTACCAGCCCAAGAACTCCATGTCTTTAAACACCTGTTTAACTAAACAAAATTTACAAAAAAAAAAAAAGTTAGTAAAGGATAATTCCTTGCATCACTCGCAGTCTGGCCTTCAGAATACAATATATAACAAATATTAAATAAAATCAATAACTGGTACGTCCATTTTTTGCCTAAGGCTTGGTTCACACCCAGTGGGCACTTCCACTTGCTGGGCAGCCCATTCTTTTCAATGGGCTGACCTAGGCATGAAAAAAAAAAAAAAAAAAAAAAAAAAAAAAAAAGTCCCTCAATCTGTTATCAGAATTAATGATACCCCACCTCATCCGAAGGGAAGTATGTTCCAGGGTGTGTCAGGGAGGTGTGGGAGTTTGTGTGTACCCAATATGCATACATATGAACCTAGGCTAAGGGCTTGTTTCCTCTAGTGTCACCTTCTGCAAAGTGCTTTGCAATGGATCACTTTTTAGAGGTTTGACAGGTGTTGAAGTGTTATGTAGCCTCCTCACCACTTGTTTTAACCTCTAAAAACCCACACTATCCTGGGTTGTGTTCGGTACTGGATGAATTGCAGCATAGAACGCACAAAAGGTAAAAAAACCTGTGTGCAGTATCCCCCCCCCCCAATACTCACCTAGGCCCATCTCACTCCAGCGATGTGCACTGGAGTCTCAGCTATCCCAGGACTCCCTCTCCTCATTGGCTGAGACAAAAGCAGGAGTCATTCGCTCCCACTGCTGTCAATCACAGCCAAGGAGAGGAGAGGGGGCAGGACCGAGCCGCGGCTGTGTGTGAATGGATACAGGGAGCAGAAGGTGCCCCCATAGCAAGCGGCTTGCTGTGTTGGCGACCGACAGGAGGGAGGGGCCAGGAGATCCTGTGGGGGACCCGAAAATTGAAGGATGCAGGCTGCTGTGTGCAAACCACTGCACATAGCAGGTAAGCATAGGCATGTTTGTTATTTTTTTAAAAAAAGCCTTTAGAATCACTTTAAGGAGGAGGTAAAAACACAGCTCAATCACGGGTGTTTACTGCTAACTGCAAGCATAAACCCGGTCTAAAAGCAGCACTCATTTTCCTAGGTACACTTGCACACAGTTAAGAAATTTGCAGGCCTAGGGTCCAGTACATAAATAAACAATTATATGGAACGGGTGCAAATGATCATAGATAATACGATCCTTAAAGTGGAACTAAAAACGGGACTAAATTGTGAGCAGGCAGTTCCTTATTACAGAAGAGGCATGCAAGGTCTCTTCTGCAATAACAAACACGTACCTGCTTGCTTGCCTTCTTCTATTGAACCGCACGCTAAACTGCAAAGGCACAGCTCAGTGCGCTGGGCTCTTCCAGAACGGCAGACTCTTGTGCACATGTGCAGGACAAGACCATTCCCTGGCCGGCCAATCACAATGCCAAAAACCCAGTACATGGGAGTAGCTGAAAAGAAGACAGCGGCTGGCAAGGAATCGAACTGCCGCATTGCTGGAATGGGGAGAGAAGTGTGAAAAAAAAAAAAAATAAAAAAAAAAAAAAAATATATTATATATATATATATATATTTTTTTTTTTTTTTCCTTTTTTTAGTTTTTTCTTGAAATTTCTGCCTGTGAGTCCTTACTGCATTAAAAAAAAGAAGAAGGACTCACAGGCAGAAATTTCAATAAAAAAAATAAAAAAAACAAAAAAAAAAAAAAAACGGGTGTTTTCAGATGTGCTGGTAATTTGTGTTTTTTTATATCTGCCGGGAGTTGAGCTTTGATGACCTCTTTCTGAAAATGTGGGACTCCTGCCTGCCGAGAACAAACCTACATCCAGTAAATTGGAACTTAAATACAATAAAGAAAAGACCGAGCATATACAGCTAGTACTTTACCTTCATAAACCTTTAACCCCTCGCCCTCCTGAGGCTTTACCCCCCTTCCTGACCAGGCCATTTTTTGTGATACGGCGCTGCGTTACTTTGACAATTGCGCGGTCATGCAACGCTGCACCCAAATGATATTTACGTCCTTTTTTCCCCCTACAAATAGAGTTTTTTATGGTTTGTGCTATAAACAAAAAAAGATCAACAATTTTGAGAAAAAAAAAATATTTTTGGACTTTTGCTATTAAACATGTCAAGGACAAAAAAAAAAACCCACCACACATTTCTGCATAAATTTAGGCCAAAGTGTATTCTGCTCCATGACTTTGCTAAAAATAAAAATCCCAAAACATGTAAATTAATTGGTGTACGTGAAAGTTATAGCATCTACAAATGGCGGTAATTTTTTTTGCATTTTTTTGTTCCACTAGTAGTGGCAGCGATCAGCGACTTATAGTAAGGCTGCGGCGGTCATTCTGACGGGGGGGGGGGGGGGCGGGGCGCTGACTTGGTGTCACTGATATCCCCAGTGACACCAATACAGTGATAATAAAAAAAAAAAGCTCTGACACAGTACTAATGGCACTGGGCAGGAAGGGGTTAACATGCGGGGCAAAGGGCTAACTATGTACTGTTTCACTGTGTGCTTTACATTGTAAACACACGGCTTTGTATGGCTCTGCTATACACAGCCATAGCAAGCAGTGTTCAGGAGCTGACGGGAGAGATCTGTGTTGTTCATACACAGGTCTCTACCCCATTGGAGATACTCGGCGATCACCGGGTGCAGGCGAGTAGTCATCAGTTGGAAACCAGTGATTGACAGCCAAGGCCGCGAATGGCGGCATGAGTAGGGCACATGTGCGCCCCCTACCCTGAACTGCAAAATCACGAACATATACACATACACACCACACGATTTTGCGCACCCCGTGCCACCTTGTAGCACTATGTCTGCTATAGGGCAGCGCAGAACCGGGTAACCGTGTTATAACCATTGGTAAAAGTCTTAATATACTGTAAGTGGCCCAGACAAGATGTGCCCAGTGCATGTGGCCAGTGCCTTGGGTTAGATCTAATTTAACTACTTCCCGACCATGCTATAGCCAAAAGATGGCTACAGCGTGGTTGTCCAGTTCTTGGAAGGGGTCTATAGACGTCCTCCCAGAACTGCGTCCCTGGCATGCTCTATAATCGCGGGAAGGGCCAATCACAGCGACCCTTTATCATGTGTCCAAAACACAGCTGACCACACTTTAAAAAGACTTGTGTATTGGCTGTCCTTTCCTCATGCACTGTCACAGCGTGAAGAGAGGAGAGCAGGCAGCCGGCAATTGACACAGGAACATTTACACTGATAATCAGGGCACTGATTATCAGTGCAGCTCCATCAGTGCAAATCAGTGAAGGAGCAAAACTACTTATTTGCAAAATTCAATGACAAACTAGGAAAAAAAATTTTTTTCCCCCCCTCACAATTTTTGGTCTCTTTTCATTTGTTAAGCCCGTACCATGTGACCTGTTGTGACCAATCACAGCAGGTCACATGACAGTTGTATACAATGGATGGCTTCATTCATGCCATCCATTGTATACTAGTGTGCCTAGCTGTGAATGGTCACAGCTAATCACATGCACGTCATGTGATTAGCTGTGGCCAAATCACAGCTAAGCACGAAAAAAAAAAAAAAAAACCCTGAATGAATCGATGTCATTCAGGTAAATGCTTGCTTATAGCTAAGTAATTCTTTGCTATAAGCAAATTGTGTAAAAAAAAAAAAAAAAAAAAAATACTGATCACTTCCCCAAAGTAGTACAATGTTACTATGGTGACATAGTGAAATCTGAAAAGAAAAAAAAAAAAAAAAAAAAAAAAAAAAGAAGTAATACAAAATTACAAATAATAAAAAAAAAAAAAAAAAAAAAATTTTTCCCCCCACCCTGTCACCAGTCAGTGTCCCTGATCACCGCCATGCCAGTTATATGAAGACGCTGTACTGCACTGGTGGCAGTATGTAAAAAAAAAAAAAAAAAAAAAAAAAAAAAAAAAAAAACACACAACAATATAGTGAAAATAATTTTTTGCATTTTTTCATTTTCTGAAAAATGACAAAAAAAAATACAACTTCCAAAAACTCGCCATTCCTCTTATGAAGTACGTTGGACGGTCTACTCTGCAAAAAGGGGTCATTTGGGGGATATCTGGACCGTCCTGACATTTGGGGGGATATCTGTACCGTCCTGACATTTGGGGGGATATCTGTACCGTCCTGACATTTGGGGGATATCTGTACCGTCCTGACATTTGGGGGATATCTGTACTGTTTGGGGGATATCTGTACTGACATTTGGGGGATATCTGTACTGTTCTGACATTTGGGGGATATCTGTACTGTTCTGACATTCTCGGACCTCAAGAAATTAGATTGGCTGTCAATACTTCAGGATTGATCAATATTCAGATCTATCCCATAGTTTGTGAACTCTATAACTTTCCTACAAACTAAATAATACATCCTAATTTGGGTTATTTTCACCAAAGACATGTAGCAGAATACATCTCGGCCTAAATTTATGAAGAACAATTATTTATTTGTAAACTTTTATAACAAAAACAAAGAAAACCTTGTGGTTTTTTTTCAAACTTTTCGGTCTTTTTTTGATAATTTAGCAAAAAATAAAACCCCAGCGGTGATTAAATACCACCAAAAGACAGCTCTAGTTGTGTGAAGAAAATGATAAAATTTTAGTTTGGGTACAATGTTGTATGACCGCACAATTGTCATTCAAAGTGTGAGAGTGCTGAAACGTGAAAAATGGCCTGGGCAGGAAGGGGGAAAATTGCCCGGTATGGAAATGGTTACATGCCACCAAAAGAAAGCTTTATCTGTTAAAATTTTTAGATTTTTTTTTTTTTTTTTTTAACAGAAAGCTTTCTTTTGGTGGCATGTAACCATTTGAATACCAGGCAATTTTACACCTTCCTGCCCAGGCCATTTTTCACGTTTCAGCGCTCTCACACTTTGAATGACAATTGCGCGGTCATACAACATTGTACCCAAACTAAAATTTTTTTTTTTTTTCTGAGAACAATGTTGCATAACCGCAAATTGTCATTCAAAGTATGAGCGCTAAAAATTAACCTGGGCAGGAAGGTAGTGAAAGTGCCCGGTACTGAAGTGATTAAGAGGCGCATTCACTCACACTGCTCCTCCTTCGTGTAATAATATTCCTTGTTGATGGTGATCTTGTCCTCCACATTCTGAGAAAGCAGCTCAAATGAGTTCATTACTTCTATATTTCTTCCCTCCTGCTTCCCTATGAGAGCTCCGATCACTGCAGAGGAAACAAAAGACATTAAAGCAAAGAGGAGCCGACACAGGAGACAGAACACAATAAAGGGTCAAAGATAATAAAGTAACAAAAAGGCTTTTACAGATAAAATTTGGCTGCGGTAAACAGCCCACTGCACTGCTCTCTTTATGAACAGGGAGGCTTCCCCACACAGAATTCCTGGTTGGTACCCTTTGCCAAGTAGTCTTGCACCTCCAATTCCAATTAAAAAAAAAAAAAAAAAAAAAAAGAAGTAAAATCCAACATGGAGCACGGGACCCCCTTGTAATGGAAGTAAGTGTATAGAGATCCAACCCACAAGGTCATGAAATATGAAAGGACAGCTTTTTTGGCTGAAATGATTCTTTAGATTATCCAAAACAAAAAAGGGAAAACTATTGGGGTTTGATATAGGAAAAGGAAGCAGGAGAACCTAAAGTCAGTCTATGAGCGATTTTTTACCATCTTCCCCCGAACTTTTATATATTGAAAGCATATTTCCACTTTTGCAAATTTGGGAACAACCCCACTATACGTTTGTTACATGTTCCTGATCTCACACACAAAAAAAATTTACCTCTAGGTGTTTCTCAACCACTTGGCAACCGCACTATACCCAAATGACGGCTACAGCGTGGTTGTCCAGTTCTGGGAGGGTGTCATATGACGTCGTCCAAGAACGCGCGCCCCCAGTGATCACTGGCGAACACTCAGAGATCTCCTACAGACACAGCTGATCACGTGATGTGGTAAAAAGCCAATCACAGCAGCCTTTTACCATGTGATCAGCTGTGTCCAATGACAGCAGATCAGCGGGTAAATACAGTTGCTGGTTATCGGCTGCACTTTCCTCACGCTGTCACAGTGTTAGGAAAGTACTGCCGATAACCAGCAATTGTCAGAAGAGGGATCAGCACTGATCAGCAGTGCCACCCACCTGAGCCCAGCAGTGCCCATCATTGCTGCATATCAGTGCTGCCTGTCAGTGCAGCCTCATCAATGCACATCAAGGAGAAAAATAACCTGTTTGCAAAATGTTATAAACAGAAAGAAAAACTTTTAAAATTTTTTGTTTATAGTGCAAAAAAGTAAAACCCCCGGCGGTGATTAAATAGCACCAAAAGAAATCTCTATTTGTGAGAAAAAAAAAAAATTTCATATGGGTACAGTGTTGCATGACCGTGCAATTGTCAAAGTGCGACAGCGCTCAAAGCTGGCCTGGGGAGAGAGAGAGAGAGAGAGAGAGAGAGAGAGAGAGAGAGAGAGAGAGAGAGAGAGAGAGAGAGAGAGAGAGAGAGAGAGAGAGAGAGAGAGAGAGAGAGAGAGAGAGAGAGAGCGGCAAGCAAGAGAGGGGCAAGCGAGACAGCGAGAGACAGCGAGAGAGAAGGCGAGAGAGAGAGAAGGCGAGAGAGAGAGAAGGCGAGAGAGAGAGAAAGAGAAGGAAAAAGAGAGAGAGAGAAAGAAAGGGAAAAAAAAAGAGAGAAAGAAAAGAGGAAAAAAAAAAAGAGAAAAGAAAAAAAAAAAAGAGAAAAAAAAAAAAAAAAAGAGAGAAAGAAAGGGAAAAAAAAAAGAAAAAAAAAAGGAGAGAATAAAAGTAAAAAAAAAACAGAAAAAAAGAGAAAAAAAAAAGAAAAAAGGAAAATAATCACACCTGTACTGAAATCCCACAGAAACCAGAATGACATTGCGATTTCAGTAAACAGATGTGTGAACCCAGGCTAAAAAAGTGTCTGCTTGCCCCCAGCAGTGCTGAATGTAAAATAAACCCACCTGCCCGATACCTGGGGCTGCAAGTCCCAGATTCCGGGGGCGATATAAATGGTTTATTCCTGTCTTGTCTCAATTTGGCTGCAAAATTGTAAACGGAGATTGAACCATTATGGCCTCATGCACATGGGCTTGCAGCTTTAAGATCCTGCGTAATCGTTTTTATGGGACTTTCTGCTGCCACATACAGCTGTCCATTGAGATGAATTAGAGCAGAGAGGGCTGTACTCGGCTATATGCTGGGGTTGTGTGAAGCACTCGCACAGATGTATGCTCTGAATGCACATAGTCTACAACCCCTGACACTTAAAGTGGAGCACCACCCAAAAGGGGAAGTTCCGCTTTAAGGACTGCTCCCCCGCTCCCCATTAAGGATTGGCACCTCCCTCCCGTAGTCTTTTGGGACACATGACAGGTCCCAGGAGACTACAGGACCATTCATGAAGTGCAGCGCTACTCGCGCATGAAGCCGCAAGCTATCACAGCCGGGTGCCCACACTGAAGATGCCGGCCCTCCTGGAATACAGGACGGCCATTGAAACGGGCTGCGGGGGACACACCATGGGACCGAGGGACAGGTAAGTGGCTGTTTTTTTTTTTTTTTTTTTTTTTTAAAGTCAGCAACTACAGTTTTTTTACTTGCTGACTTATTTTTTGACAGGCGAGTGGAACTCCACTTTAACCCTGTACAGCTGCAGCTTCAAAGCCATCAATGGGCAACTGTAAGCGACAATAGCGGCTCCCAGAAAATGGAGTATGTGGGTTCTGCACAATTGTACAGCCACGTGCACAAACTCTTACACCCCAGTAGCACCGGGTGCGACTTGCAAATCGCATGCCAAGTCACTCCCTATTGTCCGCAATTACAGCGGTCAAATCGGTGCGATTTGCAATAGGTATCTGTGTCAGATGTCTTACAAATCACACCTGAAATCAGCAGATCCCCCGACGTCACTGCAAGTCGCACGATTTCAAAGTCGGGCTTGATGTGACCGGGGTGTAAGACACACAGACTGGTAGGTTCCTAGGATTCAGCCAACCTTGAATGATCCCCAAAGCAATCACTCATAAATCCGCGTTTTTACCTTGTACTGGGCGCGGCCTTCTTGCGATCGCATTCGTATCCAGTGATCGGAAATATTTAAGATGACTAGCGGGTGTAAAGCTACAGCCACGCTGCCTGTGACTCCCTGCGCCATCACCGTGGGAAGCACTGTAAAGAAACAGGCGCTGTTATTTATATATATTCTTTTTTTTTTTGTATTGTATTTAACTTTTTGATTAATATCATGAATTTAAATGAACATGAATTTTGAATACAATCCAGTAATGTAAAATAGATTTTTATTGAAAGTGAGACAATTGGACAGAAAATAAAACGAACAATATTTAAAAAAAAAAAAAAAAAAACAAAAACAAAAAAAAAAAAAAAAACACAAAAACAAAAAAAAAACACAAAAACAAAAAACAACACACCTTAAAACAGAGGTGTTTTTGCATTGAAGTCATTAGGGGGCATTTTTGCACTGAAGTCATTAGGGGGCATTTTTGCAATGAAGTCATTAGGGGGCATTTTTGCAATGGGACACGATTTTGCATTGAAATCAAAAAGGGATGTTTTTGCATTGAAATCAATGGAACGTGACTTTTCATTGAAGTAAAAAAAAGGGGGGCATTTTTGTGCTGAAGTTAATGGGACAAGATTTTTCATTGAAGTCAATTATCATTTTATCGGCACCTCCACCCCCAATGACGATAACCCTATTTTCGGCAGGCAATATATCGGTGCATCACTAGCTGAGTCAGTACAGGAATCACTGCTTGCAGGCAGAAAGGTACCATGGGATATGTAGTCCTTAGAAATGAAAGAAGCTGCAAAGCATGCTGGGGATCCAGGAAGTTGTGGAAAGATGGCCAGGAGGCAGGCAGCACTCACAACATGAAAGGAGATTTTACAAGGATGTTTATATTGGATTGATAAATTGGAACTATTGTTTTTGTTAGCACAATGCGGTTATAGAATGAAAGCCAATGCTGTGACCATAGATTTCCTGTGCTAGGTGAAACGTGCCAAAGGAGGAAGTCCAGGCAATTTGTCCTAAAATAATTATTAAAAATACAAATTTTGGTTTGTTTTTTTTTGGGGGGGGGGGTTGATTTTAAGTGTTTGGGTGCAACTTTAATTTCTTTTTTTTTTCACTAAACTTTAATCAAATAGGGACAAAGAGTCCTCCATGTGATCCATTTTTGGTGACAGGTTCTCTAAAATGTGAGACGTATGTCACCAGCACACCAGGATCCCCAAACCGGGTCTAAAGCTTTATTAGGCATCATAGTTACAATAGCGACGTTTCAGAGCCACGCAGCACCCCTTCATCAGGCTTCAACCTGTAGAGCAGCAGCACCCATTTGCAGCACCCGTCTGCGTCTGCAGCCAGGTTGCAGCACCCGTCTGCGTCTGCAGCCAGGTTGCAGCACCCGTCTGCAGCCAGGTTGCAGCACCCGTCTGCAGCCAGGTTGCAGCACCCCCTGCAGCCAGGTTGCAGCACCCGTCTGCAGCCAGGTTGCAGCACCCGTCTGCAGTGGGGATCGAAAGTTTGGGCACCCCAGCTAAAAATTTGTATCAATGTGCATAAAGAAGCCAAGGAAAGATGGAAAAATCTCCAAAAAGGCATCAAATTACAGATTAGGCATTCTTATAATATGTCAACAAACGTTAGATTTTATTTCCATCATTTACACTTTCAAATTAACAGAAAACAAAAAAATGGCGTCTGCAAAAGTTTGGGCACCCTGCAGAATTTATAGCATGCACTGCCCCCTTTGCCAAGCTGAGACCTGCCAGTGTCATGGATTGTTCTCAATCATCGTCTGGGAAGACCAGGTGATGTCAATCTCAAAGGTTTTAAATGCTCAGACTCATCTGACCTTGCCCCAACAATCAGCACCATGGGTTCTTCTAAGCAGTTGTCTAGAAAACTGAAACTGAAAATAGTTGACGCTCACAAAGCTGGAGAAGGCTATAAGAAGATAGCAAAGCGTTTTCAGATGTCAATATCCTCTGTTCGGAATGTAATTAAGAAATGGCAGTCATCAGGAACAGTGGAAGTTAAAGCAAGATCTGGAAGACCAAGAAAAATATCAGACAGAACAGCTCGCAGGATTGTGAGAAAAACAATTCAAAACCCACGTTTGACTGCACGATCCCTCCAGAAAGATCTGGCAGACACTGGAGTTGTGGTACACTAGTCCACTATAAAGAGATACTTGTACAAATATGGTCTTCATGGAAGAGTCATCAGAAGAAAAACTCTACTACATCCTCACCACAAAAATCATCGTTTGAACTTTGCAAATGAACATATAGACAAGCCTGATGCATTTTGGAAACAAGTTCTGTGGACCGATGAGGTTAAAATTGAACTTTTTGGCCGGAATGAGCAAAGGTACGTTTGGAGAAGAAGGGGCACAGAATTTAATGAAAAGAACCTCTGTCCAACTGTTAAGCATGGGGTTGGATCAATCATGCTTTGGGGTTGTGTTGCAGCCAGTGGCACAGGGAACATCTCACGAGTAGAAGGAAAAATGGATTCAATAAAATTTCAGCAAATTTTGGATGGTAACTTGATGCCATCTGTGAAAAAGCTGAAGTTAAAGAGAGGATGGCTTCTACAAATGGATAATGATCCTAAACACACCTTAAAATCCACGGGGGATTTACATCAAGAGGTGTAAACTGAAGGTTTTGCCATGGCCTTCACAATCTCCTGACCTCAACATAATTGAAAATCTATGGATAGACCTTAAAAAAGAGCAGTGCGTGACAGACAGCCCAGAAATCTCAAAGAACTGGAAGACTTTTGTAAGGAAGAATGGGCAAAGATACCTCAAACAAGAATTGAAAGACTCTTGGCTGGCTACAAAAAGCGTTTACAAGCTGTGATACTTGCCAAAGGGGGCAGTACAAGATATTAACTCTGCAGGGTGCCCAAACTTTTGCAGACGCCATTTTTTTGGTTTCTGTTATTTTGAAAGTGTAAATGATGGAAATAAAATCTAACTTTTGTTGACATATTATAAGAATGTCTAATCTGTGATCTGATGCCTTTTGGAGATTTTTCCATCTTTCCTTGGCTTCTTTATGCACATTAATACAAATTTTTAGCTGGGGTGCCCAAACATTCGATCCCCACTGTACATCTACAGCCAGTTTGCTGCACCCATCTACAGCTACAGCCAGTTTCAGAAACGTGTGCGTTGGGAATGTTGTACTTAAAGGTTCACTTTAATGAAACACCAGGGGGGTCTTCTAGACCGCTGATATCTCACCTGTCCTCCAATGAAACAAATGCAGTGCAGATCGCCCTCCATTAGTTTCTTCTCCGGTAATATTGGCAGGGAAAGTGACACCAGGACCTGGACGTGACGTTTTACACGGGTCAAAAACAGGGAGGGGAAGAGAGCAAAGGACGGTTGCTTGTCTCCATCCCCTCTACCCAGCCACACCCATCATGCTAGTCCCAGGTCTGTTGATGGGGCCCAGGAAACTTGTCAGGGGGGAGGTTTGTCAGATGTACACACACTCCAGGCAGCTGCAGCCATTGGTAGTGTGTGAAAACCCACTCAAATGTAGTTACACCTCTGAAAGGCATCAGTCGGCTTTCTTTGGTGGTAGTAAAAGGGTTAGGCCCTGATGAAGGGAAGTCTTAGACCTCTCTGAAATGCATCAGCTTGCTTTCTTTGGGGGCAGTAAAAGGGTTAGGTCCCAATGGAGGTCTTAGATATCTGAAGCGCGTCGGCTTGCTTACTTTGCTGGCAGGAAGTGTTAGGCTCCAATGAAGGGAGGCCATGGACCTTGGAAATGCATCAGTCTGCTTTCTTTGGGGGCAGTAACAGGGTTAGGTCCCAATGAAGGGAGGTCTTAGACCCCTGAACCGCGTCAGCTTGCTTTCTTTGGTGGCAGTAAAAGGGTTAGGTCCCAATGGAGGTCTTAGACATCTGAAACGCGTTGGCTTGCTTGCTTTGGTGGCACGAAGTGTTAGGCCCCAATGAAGGGAGGTATTAGACACCTGAAATGCGTCAGCTTGCTTTGGTGGCAGGAAGGGTTAGGCCCCAATGAAGGGAGGCCATGGACCTTGGAAATGCATCAGTCTGCTTTCTTTGGGGGCAGTAAAAGGGTTAGGTCCCAATGAAGGGAGGTCTTAGACCCCTGAACCGCGTCAGCTTGCTTTCTTTGGTGGCAGTAAAAGGGTTAGGCCCCAATGGAGGTCTTACACCTTTGAAACACGTCAACTTTCTTTGGTGGCAGTAAAAGGGTCGGGACCCGATGAAGGGAGGTCTTAGAAACGTGTCAGGTTGCTTTGGTGGCAGTAAAAGGGTTAGGCCAGATGGAGGGAGGTCTTACACCTCTGAAACGCGTTGGGTTACTTTCATTGGACATCTGCGATGACATAAATACACGGGGACTCCTGAACCTTGGTGTGGCGCTCTCGTTCTCCCTTCACCTTCCAGCATTTTCTGTTTTTGCATCAGATCCGACTTAGCTGGAAGATGATTGGCCATCAGAGGGTGTGTAAGGGGAACCCCGGCACACAGAGTGCAGGCAGAGGACGCAGGGACATGGGGGCTCCATACTGTGAGCAGAGGGACTCCAGGAGCACTAGTGACACCATGTAGTACCAGGCACAGCTCCTCATCTATAGGCTGTCAGCTCCAGCCAATGGCAGTCTCAGTGTATGGTGGCCCATCTGTTATCACACAGAACACCACTTCCTCCATTCAGAACACTGGCTGGCACCATGGCAACGCCCCTCTACCAATGACTGACAGCTCTGCCAGCCAACCAAAGTCCGCCGTTCAGGTCCCGCCCACCCATCCCACCCAGAGAGAGAGGCTCAGGCGGCCGGCCATTGCCCCCTACATATCTACTTCACACTGATGTGTCCCCCCTGTGGCGCTCCGCAGCGGGTTCCCCTCTTCTCAGACAATAGCCCGGATACTCACCCGCCCCGTCCACCTCCATCCCGCCGCCGTTCGGAGCCGTAGCCGCCGCCATCTTGCTCCTCCCGGCTGGCGAGCTGTGTCACTGCGGCTGCGAGAATAGAGCGATGAGATCTACGCAGGCGCGGTTGCGGCGGGTTTTGCACATGCGCCTTTTTATTGTCGGATTGCCCTCTATGGGTGATGAGATATGGGCTTAACGTCGTTTCTAGGGACGCTGCGATGCGGTGTTTAGGCTGCCCCTAGGGGCGCTGTGGTAGTCTTGATACTGCCTCTAGGGGCACTGTGGCAGAGTCCTGCGGCTGCCCCTAGGGGCGCTGCTGTACAATCTTTAGGTTGCCTATAGAGGCATTGTGGTTCAGTGCTTAGGCTGCATCTAGGGGCGCTGTGGTACAGTCTTGCAGCTGCCCCTAGGGGCGCTGTGGTACAGTCTGGATACTGGCTCTAGGGGCACTGTGGCACAGTCCTGCGGCTGCCTCTAGGGGCGCTGTGGCACAGTCCTGCGGCTGCCTCTAGGGGTGCTGTGGCACAGTCCTGCGGCTGCCTCTAGGGGCGCTGTGGCACAGTCCTGCGGCTGCCTCTAGGGGTGCTGTGGTACAGTCTTTAGGTTGCCTATAGATCAGTGGTTCTCAACCTTCCTAATGCCGCGACCCTTTAATACAGTTCCTCATGTTGTGGTGACCCCCAACCAGGGGGCACTAGGGGATAATGGGGCCCCTGTGTCCTTGCCCAAACTCAAAAAAGCCTATGAAAAAGGTACCAGGAGCATCTCATGGGGCCCCCCACTGACCCCGGGCCCTCGGGCAGTGCCCGAGTTTCCAAATGGTCAGTCCGCCCCTGCTCCAACCATAAAATGATTTACCCAGTAATTATAATTCATGAGTGTCGTTTTACCTCCAATACTGCTGCTTTTTTTAACACAGTAGCTGCTCTTTACATATTGGAAATATGTGTTTTCCGATGGTCTTAGGTGACCCCTGTGAAAGGGTTGTTCGACCCCCAAAGGGGTCGCGACCCACAGGTTGAGAACCACTGCTATAGAGGCATTGTGGTTCAGTGCTTAGGCTGCCTCTAGGGGCGCTGTGGTACAGTCTGGATACTGCCTCTAGGGGCACTGTGGCACAGTCCTGCGGCTGCCTCTAGGGGTGCTGTGGTACAGTCTTTAGGTTGCCTATAGAGGCATTGTGGTTCAGTGCTTAGGCTGCCTCTAGGGGCGCTGCGGTACAGTCTGGATACTGCCTCTAGGGGCTGCGCTGTGGTACAGTCTTCGGCTGCCTCTAGGGGCACTGTGGTACAGTCTTTCGGCTGCCTCTAGGGGTGCTGTGGTACAGTTTGGATACTGCCTCTAGGGGTGCTGTGGTACAGTCTTGCGGCTGCCTCTAGGAGCGCTGTGGTACACTTTTTCGGCTGCCTCTAGGGGCGCTGTGGTACAGTCTTGCGGCTGCCTCTAGGGGCGCTGTGGTACACTCTTTCGGCTGCCTCTTGGGGTGCTGTGGTACAGTCTTCGGCTGCCTCTAGGGGCGCTGTGGTACAGTCTTGCGGCTGCCTCTAGGGGCGCTGTGGTACACTCTTTCGGCTGCCTCTAGGGGTGCTGTGGTACAGTCTTGCGGCTGCCTCTAGGGGCGCTGTGGTACAGTCTTGCGGCTGCCTCTAGGGGCGCTGTGGTACAGTCTTCGGCTGCCTCTAGGGGCGCTGTGGTACAGTCTTGCGGCTGCCTCTAGGGGCGCTGTGGTACAGTCTGGATACTGCCTCTAGGGGTGCTGTGGTACAGTTTTGCGGCTGCCTCTAGGGGCGCTGTGGTACAGTCTTGCGGCTGCCTCTAGGGGCGCTGTGGTACACTCTTTCGGCTGCCTCTAGGGGTGCTGTGGTAAAGTCTTCGGGTGCCTCTAGGGAAGCTGTGGTATAGTCTTCGGCTGCCTCTAGGGGAGCTGTGGTACAGTCTTCGGCTGCCTCTAGGGGCGCTGTGGTACAGTCTTTTGGCTGCCTCTAGGGGCGCTGTGGTACACTTTTTCGGCTGCCTCTAGGGGTGCTGTGGTACAGTCTTGCGGCTGCCTCTAGGGGCGCTGTGGTACACTCTTTCGGCTGCCTCTAGGGGTGCTGTGGTACAGTCTTCGGCTGCCTCTAGGGGCGCTGTGGTACACTCTTCGGCTGCCTCTAGGGGCGCTGTGGTACAGTCTTGCGGCTGCCTCTAGGGGCGCTGTGGTACAGTCTTGCGGCTGCCTCTAGGGGCGCTGTGGTACAGTCTTGCGGCTACCTCTAGGGGCGCTGTGGTACAGTCTTGCGGCTGCCTCTAGGGACGCTGTGGTACAGTCTGCGTGGGGGCAGCCTCTGGATAAATGGCTAATACTTCTGCCTGGTACTAAGGTTTGGGGTTTCCTCCCACACTCTAAAGGGCTGGTAGGTTAATTGGCTCCTGTCTATATTGTCAGTATGTGGTATGAAAGTTAGGGACCTTAGATTGTACGCCCCTTCTGGGTTAGGGACCTTAGATTATACACCCCTTGAGGGTTAGGGACCTTAGATTCTCCCCACTTAAGGGTTAGGAACCTTAGATTGTACTGGGGTTAGGGACCTTAGATTGTACCCCCCTTGAGGGTTAGGGACCTTAGATTGTACACCCCTTGAGGGTTAGGGACCTTAGATTATACACCCCTTGAGGGTTAGGGACCTTAGATTGTACACCCCTTGAGGGTTAGGGACCTTAGATTGTACACCCCTTGAGGGTTAGGGACCTTAGATTATACACCCCTTGAGGGTTAGGGACCTTAGATTGTACACCCCTTGAGGGTTAGGGACCTTAGATTGTACGCCCCTTGAGGGTTAGGGACTGATGTGAATGTACAATATATATGTAAAGTGCTGCGTAAAATTGACGGCGCTCTATAAGTACCTGAAATAAATAAAATACAAAAAATTTTAAATATAATAAAATTCTATTTATACTCACAGGTAGCGAAATATAACATACTTGAATGTCCTATAAGTGATCTCTAACAAACCCAAAATATAATCAAACAAAATGCCAATGTCTGAGAAATAAAGCAGTCCCTGAACTCTCCCTATGTTCTCCTATGTGTCTGTGTACACATCGTCGTTTACAGGCAGTTGAGTTTACAGACATTTTTTTGAACGCACCAAACTTGCATTCAGGAGCAGATTTTATCTGTGTTTAAACGCCAAATGCTTGTAAACGCAGTTAACCGCGTTTATAAGCGTTTGCGTTTAGATGCGTTTTTTAACTGTTCCATATCCAGATGCTGCCCAGAGACTTTTTTCATCATCAGAAATGCATGCAAAGCTTTTTCCATGGACCCGCATACACCAGCGCAGTCAGTTCCTGGTTTGGCGTGAAGGATATAATGGTAGAACGCACCGCATTATGCTCATGATGGGATCCATAGTGAATACAACCAGAAAAGACAGGTCATCTCAACACATACTGTTCTCTCTGCTTCCACTCTCTCTATTGCTCTCGAAATGTCTGAAATAGTTTAATTATTTACTATTTTTCAGTGCATTCTGGGCATTTGGGGGGGTCTCTCTTTTAAAAACGCTTCTAAACGCAAACTCGCATAAACGCGGTATGTAAACGCGGCTAAACTGTTGTTTTTTAACCTGCATTTTCCAGCAGTTTCCAGCGGTCAGAAGAGTTTTCCAAACAGCCCCGTGTACATGAGCCCTTACCATGGGTGGACTGACCATTTGGGAACTCGGGCACTGCCCGAGGGCCTGGAGTCAGTAGGGGGCCCCATGGGATCCCCCTGGTACTTTTCATAGGCTTTTTTGGGTGTGGTTTGAGTTTGGGCGAGGACACAGGGGCCCCATGATTCCCTATTGCCCAGGGGCCCCATGAGTTGTCAGTCCACCCCTGGCCCTTACTCTTCAATAACATTATTATTATACAGGATTTATATTGCGCCAACAGTTTGCTCCGCGCTTTACAACATAAAGGGGGGCAGTACAGGTACATACAGAAGGAACATCTGCATACGTCCATAGATTCCATAGTGACACCATCAGTATTCTTCAGATACACCATAGTGGATGTGCAAATCCTCCAATCCTCCACCTCCGTGGGACAAGTGTTCTTCGCAGGTCATTGCTTCTCATGACTATTGCACCAGAGATAGGCTTGTCCACTCCCCATTACCACCATTACCGTTCCGTACCAACCCCCCCCCCCCCTCCCCTTAACCAATTATACTTACAAAAGACATGACACCAATTTTGGAGTAAATGGCCAACATGGCCTTTTATTAACAACTCAAGTTACAATACACCAACCATTCCTTATAACAGAAACCCACAGAATTGTTGTTGGTCTTCGAAGGCACCCCCAAACAATCCGAAAATCATATACACTAGGCCTCCAGCCGCAACCAACCAGCTCGGAGACAACCATACCGTCTGCAGTGCAGCACCACCACCTTCCAGTTAAACCTTGGTTAACTGGGAATGTCCCCGGGCATCCCATACCACGGATGGGTCCCACACCATTGTTTTTACCTTCCAAGATAAGAACCGCCTCCAAAGACCAACAACCGCCCATGAACCAACATAATCCCCCCTTTTCCTGGAGGGACCCAATACTCACCAAAAAACAGGGAGGGCGGGAGGGAAGCTGTCACCTGACGTCCAGCTCCAACTGACGCCCCCTCACTGAAACCCCCCATCCTAAGGTGCAGCAAAGCCCACCTACCTTCAACCTTCTACCAACCAGATACCCCCACTATCAAAACAAACCCCTTGGAGCTGACCCTAACCCTTTCTGTTGCTCCTTCCCCACTCTGGGCCTAGTCATGCATGCCCTGCGCTATTTCTTCTTTCTTTTTTGCTACGGGCATTTCTTTTTACCGATTGGCAAATAAAACGTTGAAGATCTTGTCCTTCCATTTCCATCAATTATCCATCATCATCCTCCCATATAGAGACATCACAGACATTGCCCTCTAGACCTGTGTGCTTCATTTCTTTCCAAATCCAAATTCAGATGAATTGTTTCATTATTCAGAGATTCAGACGTATCCGAATTCTCAAATTACAATAGTAACGA